GGAATCTTTCAGCTACGTATCTTGGTACGTTTACCGCTTCTCTTAGGCTTTTGTTGTGTTGTGCCTGTATTTTCTTTTTGGTTGTGTTACATATATGTCCCCATGCAAGTGACGCGTAGGTCAGTATAGGAAGGACTATACTGTTTATAAGTCTTATTTTGGTTTTTATACGAAGTTTGCTTGTCCTTCCTGCTAGGCCTCTTATTGCGGTCCTTGCCATGTTGGCTTTTTGTACCGTAGCTTCTACGTGTTTACTAAAGGTTAGTCCTTTGTCCATTATTACCCCGAGGTATTTTGCTTCGCTTTTCCACTCAATGGAATTGTTTTGCACGGTTACCTGTTCTTCCGGTCGTTTTTGCCTCTTTTGAAAAAGTACAGCTTGCGTCTTATCTGAGTTAATTGCAATTTTCCACTTTAGACTCCATTGTGGACTTGTGCTATCCGGACTCTGAAACTGCGGTTGCTCAAGTAAAAAGAGATCAGCCTTGTCATTGCTCAGCTGTACCCGTATCCTCTCATTTTGTATAGTAGTCCCTTATGCCAGACTCTATCGAATGCTTTACTTACATCCAGGAATGCAGCTGCTGTGTATTGTTTATCGTTGAATCCAGCTGCTATGTTGAATCTGTTAGTCTGAGTACTTGTAGCTCGCTGAAGTGTTCTGATCTGAAGCCAAATTGGGCTTCGGGTATGATATTTAATCTGTCAGTTTCAGCTTGGAGTCTGCTGAGTATAACTCTTTCCACTATTTTGCTGATTGCTGGTAGTAAGCTTATCGGCTTGTAGTCTTATTGTGTGTAGGAAAAAAAGAGTCTTTTATAATAATTTTAACCTATGGAGCATTTTTTATGGCATTTTTATGATTTATGATTTTGTAAACTCAAAGCAATAAAATATTTTACGACCAGGTAATTCAAAAACCTTTAAGTAAAAATAGAATGATAAAACGTGAGAAAGGGTCATTTTAAATTGTTTATTTTGTAGCGACGGGTCAGCAACATAGATAATTATTTGAAAGTGTCTGAGGTAAAAATTTCAAAGACATTTTATCAAAAATTTAACCTTTTAATGCGACGAAATAAATATAATGGAGGAAATTATAGTACAGAGGCCTACTCTCTACTATTAAATAAGAAATAAGTCAGAACTGTTTTAGGATATGTTAAAGGCTGTAACAGATAGAGCATTCTGTTCGGTCTCATAAATAATTTTTAATTATAAATTTAATTATTTATTGAACGAAAAAAATCGTTCCTTTTATAATGTTTTTAATTTAAACACCTTGAAAGAGATCTTCCTCTTGATCTTCTGCCTTCGACGATCAGTCTTTACATGCCCTCTTTCCTTGTAGTGATGTGACCAAAGTACCTTAGAACATTTCTGTTTATAGTTGTAATGAGTCTGGTACTAATATTAAGTTCTTAAAGCACAGACTGATTTGTACGATGTGATGTTCATGTAATTTGTAATATCTTTCTATATACCCACATCTCAAGGCGTTGATGTGCTATGCATCAGTTTTCTTATTAGTCACGTTTCAGTGGCATATATTACAATAGGGAATATCCGTGCAAATGCAAGACAAAGTTTCGTGACGTTAGTTATGTCGGTGTCTTTCCAAACTTTCGTCAGTTTTGTTGTTGGTGACCTAGTTATTCTTACTCGTCGTCTTATTTCTTCCACGCATCGGCAATTTTTTATTATTATTGATCCTAGGCAGTTGAACTTTCTCATTACTTCGTATCCGGCTATACTTGTGACCTTTGCTTGAATATTTCTAGCTCGATCAAGTATTATAGCTTTTGTTTTGTTTGCTTTGATTTTTAGTTCGTATTGTTGACTTACTTGTTCAGTTTCTACATTATCTGTTGTAGTTCTGTCTGCGTATCTTAGGTGATTAATTTTACATCCTCCCACTGTTATTCCTCCATCCCTGTCATCTAAAACTCACATGATATGTTCACTATATATTCAATACATTGACGGCAATACACATTCTTGACTGACTCTTGCACTCAACTTAAACTGATCAGAGTAGGTATTATTTATTAGTACTGTAGGCATGTTGTTTCCATATATTTGTTTTAGGAGGAAAATTAAATAGTAGAGGAGGTAAATTCGGACCCCTGCTACCACTAGTGCAATTTGGTATGGAGGTGCTGCTGCCAATGGGAAAACAGCGTAGCCTTTCCTTGGCATTGACAGATGTCGAGGCTCTGCCGCCGTTCAGTTAGTGACTGAGTTCAGACAGTGACGAGTGTTTTTTATTTTTGTAACTCCTGGAATATTCCCAGTGTTCCTGTTTATCATTTGCTACGATAGTTCCTGTGAAAGTAATACTAACGTAGTATGTAGTAAATAAGTTCGTGTAATGTTTAAAGTGACGGAAAAACAATTCTACCAATTCTTCGGACCCCTTAGAGCTTTTAATTCGGACCCCTTTTATTTTTAATTCGGACACCCAGTAAGAACGTTCCATTATTAAAAACTAATTTTCAATGTTTTATTTGCAGATTAAAAAACCATACAGAAGACTTCCAAAGAAAAGAAGAAGAAGTTGTGGTTGGAAGAAAATATGACAAACGTTATAGAAGCCACTAGGACGAGAAGAATGGGATGGACGAGGACTGCCAAAAATTTTAAAGTACCGAAGACCACGCTGATGCATTTGTTAATTTAAAAGTGTGGATAACCTGCAAAAGCAGCTTGTGTTAGGGCAGAAAGGTCTACTGTCTTACTTTCCGAATTAGAGGAACAGTTGGTTAAGTATTGTTTGGTCATAGAATCTACTTTTTTTGGTTTGACTAAGCGAGACCTTCTGCGGATGGCCTATCTACTGGCTGAAAGGAATTGTATAACTCACTCTTTTGTTAAACACAGCATTGCGAGTAAAGTTTGACTAGACTTATTCATGAAAAGGCATAAGGGTCGTTTTTCAATTCGTAAGCCAACAGGAACCTCATTTGCAAGAACTGTAGATTTCAACTATGAAAATGTGTCAAAATTTTTTGACAATATTGAATATGCGTTTGAAAAATACAGCTATCCAGAAAACAGAATTTTCAATGTTGATAAAAGTGGCCTTACAGTAGTTCAGAGTAAAGTAGAACCAGCCATTGGTCTCCGGGGAAAAAGCAGAGATAGGCTCTCTTACATCAGCAGAAAGAGGGGTCTTGATAACAATTGTAGTCTGTATGAGAGCTGGTGGCGACAATGTTCCATCCATGGTCATATTTCCTCGGAAATACATGATTGTTCAGTTGCAAAGAAGCTCCTCCAGCTGATGTCTTTTAAGTGCAGCCATCAGGATAGATTAAAACAGAACTGTTTACAAAATGGTTCAATAATTTTTTTATCATTACAAAAACTCACAACTGAATCACCTGTTCTCCTAGTCTTTGACAAGCATTCAAACGACACCAGAAATATTGACATTATCGAGAAAGCTACACAGAACTATGTTACAATTATCTCCTTACCGCCTTATTTAACTCAATAAGTTGAAGCTCTTAGATTAGATAAGTCTTTTTTGTATCCTTTAAAGACTTATTATAGTCAGAAGTTTTGTTTATTTTATTAATGATTTGTATTTTAAGAACGATTTCCGGAGTGGAAATCGAAACATCAAATAAAGTTAATTTTAAAATAAAATTGCAGCTTATTCCCAACAAAAATAGTAAATTTGTATCCTTCGCCGATTAGAATTATTGATGTTATCAATAATTCGAATACCTGGTGAACTTTGCTTAACAATATTTAGAATTCTTGGTAAACGTGTTCAAAACATCATCCCTGATATATCAAGGGCGGATCCAGCACCGATTATAGGAGGGGGCATGAACTTTTTTTGGGGGGACACCGGTGGATCTGGGGAATTTTTTTAATAAGGGTAAAAATAGTGCGTTTTAAGACACTTTTCACATGTTTTGATTGCTATAAAGACATTCAAAACTTATTGTTATTAGTGTAAGTAATTTTTATTTTGTCTAGCAATGAAAAATTGCATTCACCTGAAAATATGCCTTCCTGAAAATATGGCCCCATTTCTGGATCCTCCCTTGTGATATACCTATATTTTTCTGCATTTCACAATACAGAATTCGAAGAAAATGCTCATTTAGGCTCAAAAATGGTACAAAAATTGTATGTTAGCCTACAAAAATTTAAGGATCTCCAAAAGAACTGCCTATGGTTAAAATTGGATAGGGCATATTTAGAAATTAGAAATTAAAAAAAGTCTATTTTATTTATATAACCCTTATTTCTACATGCGTGATTTTAGATTACATGATTTAATTTTTTATAGATTTAATACTATGCACCTATGCACATGGAATATTGGCGCCACAAAGTATGCAACATCTAAGAGGATGTGGCTACTAATACAATATTAATCAGAAATCTTTGCCAGAATAAATTGGGTTATATCAACAATCGTTTTAAGTATGGTTAATATCTTATAAGGTTGATATATTGCAGCAGTCAAAATTATATGGTATTGTTTTCTTATAATTTTTATAGTAATAATGTTATTTTAACACAAAATGTTCTTATAATACCTACATTGTTACACAAAAGTAACTTGTATTTTGTAACTAAAAGTATCACAAAATATAAAAAAAAGTGTAAATACACTTACTGGGAAGTTCATGTTTACTTAAGAGGCATATTTTGCTTTTCTAAACCTGTTGTGTGTAATACGTTATTTTGTTATTTTGTTCTTCTAGAAAGTTTGTTATTGGTAAAAGCGTATTTTCTTCAATTATTTTTATTTTTCAGATCTTTTCAATACCCTATTATTAATATTTTAATTATTATGTGTTTTATTTGTTTTATACTTTGTTGGATGCGATAAACGATTTGGGTTTATATTTTTAAGATTTTGAAAAGATATATAATATATATATATATTTTAATTTTAAATACTTAAAACCGTACCGCGTATGCTTAAGAACTTCCTATTTGGTTTGAACTTCACGATGTCCTTGCTGTCATAACAAGGTATGATGACAATGATTTTTTTCATATGTTCTGTGTCAAACTAGAGATTGTTTTTTACTTTTTTGTTTTGATTGGTAAACTGGTTAACCACAATAAGCGGCTAATGATCTCAGCACGCACAATCATCACAGTTAATTAAGCAAACGAAGTAAAGAAGTGAATGTGTAGTGTTTCCTAAAGAAAATTGAATATTCAAAATACTACTTCAGGATGTCTCAAAAAGCCGAACATGTTGTTAATTCCCTCAGGAATACTTTTGAAACCGGAAAAACAAAATCTGTTAACTTCCGAATAAAACAGTTGAAAAACCTTGTGAAAATGCTCGATGAAAATACACAAGCTATCGCTGATGCCTTAGGTCAAGATCTCAGAAAAAGTAAAATCGAATCTATTTTAATGGAAGTTGATGTTATCAAGAACGAGATTAAATACATATTGATGCATATCCATGACTGGACAAAAGCTGAGAAACCCTCCAAGAGTTTGGCTAATGCGTTGGATTCCGTTTATATTTTGCATGACCCTTATGGAGTTGTCCTAATCTTAGGTGCTTGGAATTATCCTCTGCAGCTTTCCCTTTCACCAGTAGCAGGTATTTTTTTATTTATTAAGTATTCTTAATTTAGATTATATCACTTGATTGTTATTTTCTATACCTTATATCCATTATTAGATTTGTCAGTGTCGGGATTCTGATCAAACTCCCACATTGGTGATAGGAGTATGAGGAAGGCTATAATCAAAAACACTTTTTAGAACACTGTATTTAGTAATTCTTATCTCGATGTGCCTTATCTATCTTGATTTTGCATGTTATGTTCATTTAAAGATAGTCATTTTCAATTTTAGACATGTTTCATCTAAACTATTTAATTCCTACATTTAAATGTTTTACTTATTCAACATTTAGTAATATAAAACACTGAGCCAGAAAAAAATATTTAGGTATTATTTATATTAGGTATAAAGATTATAAACTATGGAATGTGTCATGACAAGCTTACACTATCTATATATCAAAACTTCTTCTTCTTAACATGCCATACACCAAAGTGCGTAGGCGACTATCTCATTACTAGAATTCTGTTCTTGGCGGCGTGACACAGCTCACCTGTATTGTGTATTCCTGTCCATTCTTTAATATTCCTTAACCAGGACAATTGTTTGCGGCCGGCTCCTCTCCTACCTTCGATCTTCCCTTGTAGGATTAACTGTGGTATTTCATATTTTGCTCCTCTCAATATGTGCCCAAGGTAACCAATCTTGCGTTTTTTAATTAATTCAAAAAGTTCTCTTTCCACGCCGGCTCTATTAAGGACGTCATCGTTTCGAACTCTATCCACCCAAGGTATGCGCATCATTCTTCTCAATGACCACATTTCAAATGCTTCGAGTTTGTTGATAGATGTTTTTTTCAAAGTCCACGTTTCCATGCCATAAAGCAAGATGGACCATATGTAGCACTTGACCATTCTGTAGCGTATTTCGAAGTTTAGGTGTTGATTACATAGGAGCGGTCTGAATTTCACAAAAGCTTGTTTTGCCATTTGTATTCGGGTTTTTATCTCGTGTTGTGGATCCGATTGGTCATTGATTGTGGTGCCAAGGTATTTAAAAGTTTTCACGCGATTTATACGATTGTCACCTATGCATAATATCGGGTTTTCTGGAGGGTTTCTGCTAATGACCATATATTTCGTTTTCAAAATGTTGATTTTGAGGCCATATTTTTTACCTATGCTATTCACCCTATCAAGTAATAACTGCTGATCTTCCAAATTATCAGTTATAATCACTGTGTCGTCCGCATAGCGTAGGTTGCTAATTGGTATGCCGTTCACCTTAATGCCTAATTCCGTATCTTCTAATGCTTCTGCAAATATATTTTCAACATATAAATTAAAAAGCATCGGAGAGAGTATGCAGCCTTGGCGGACACCTTTCCGGATTTCAAATTCATCCGTATATTGGTCTTGATCAATCCTCACCTTTGCCATTTGGTTCCAGTATAGATTCTGAATAATTCTGATCTCCTTCTGGTCAATGTTGGCCCTATGTAGTAGTTCCATCATGATATCATGTTTAACATTGTCAAATGCCTTCTCGTAGTCGATGAAGGTGAGGTAGACATCTTTTCGTTGATCTAAGCAGTTTTGTATTAAGGTGTTCAAACATAAAATTGCCTCTCTTGTTCCTAGTCCTCCCTTAAAACCGAATTGTGTTGACCCGCTAAGTTCTTCTAGTATCTTATACATTCTTGAGTGTAATATCCTAAGGAAGAGTTTCAACAAGTGACTCATTAAACTGATTAAGCGGTGTTCATTGCATTTTGTGGCATTAGCTGTTTTTGGGATCATCACAAAGGATGACTGCAGCCATTCTCGCGGAATGTAACCAGTATCATAAATTCTATTGAACAGCCTTACCAAGATTTCGATATTCTCCTCGTCTAGTAGTTTTATTGCTTCTATATTAATTTCATCTGGACCTGTTGCTTTATGCATCTTTGTGGTTCTAACTGCATATTCTATTTCACTTCGCATTATTGATGGCCCTGATAAGTTTTCGGAAGGAAGTTTGCGCGTTGGTTGTGTTGGTCTTTCGTCATTAAAAAGGCTTTCTGCGTATTCTTTCCACGCCATTGCTATTTCTTCTTCTGACTCTATGTATTCGTTTCTGTCGTTGCGTATTCTTGTTCTGTGGTGGCTTTTGTGTATATTCGATATTTCTTTGATCTTCTTATGTAGTCCAAAACTATCTCCTTTTTCCTGCAATTGTTCTATTTCGTTGCACCTTTCCACCATCCAACGTTCTTTTGCTTTCTTAATTTTCTGACGGATTTCTTTGTGTATCTGTTTGTATTTGTCTTGATTACGTTGTTGTTTATGTTGCCTTCGCTTTTCCATTAGATCCATAATTTCGTCCGTCATCCATTCGTTATGCTTTATCTTTCTGATATGTGTTTTAACTTCCCTGTTTACTGCCAGAATCGTTCCTTTAATATCATTGATCATCTCTTCGATATCATAATTTTGTCCTATTACTCGCATTCTTTCATTAATTTGATTCGCATAACTCTTCTTCAGATTTTCGTCTCTCATCAGTTCTCTTGTATTTATAGGTGTGCTGGTATTTGTATTTGTTCTCTTAATTTTTGCTAGTTTTAACCTCACATCTGCTATTAGCGGATTATGATCGGATGCAATATCAGCACCTGGATATGCTGCGATTCTTTTGATAGCGTTACGAAATCTTCTGTTTATTAAAACGTAGTCAATTTGGTTTCTAATTATTCGATTTGGACGGTCTCCTGGCGATCTCCAAGTATATAACTTACGAGGTGGGAGCTGAAACCATGTGTTCATGACGACAAAACCGTTCTCCTGGCAGAATTCACACAGCAGGTCGCCTCTTTCATTTCTAACTCCAAGGCCGTACTCTCCAATTATGTCTTCATATCTTCCTTTACCCACCTTGGCGTTAAAGTCGCCCATTATTATGTTTATGTCCTCTTTCTTTGTTAGTCTTATTGCTTTTTCCAGATCTTTATAGAACTTAGTTATTTCTTCTTCTGACTTATCTGCTGTTGGTGCATATGCTTGTGTCACATTTATGTTTACTGGTTTGCCTGTCATTTTGATCAACATGACTCGTTCGGAAATTGGAACAAAATCTGTCACCGATTTACTGGTCTTCCTGTCAAGAGCAATAGCCACCCCATGTCGGTGATGTCTATCTGTTGGATCACTACACGAGTAATACATACTAATCTTATCTTTCGTAAACTGACCAGATCCAGACCATCGGACTTCACTGACTCCCATTATATTTATTTTCAGCCGATTCATTTCCTTTATAAGGTTGTGTAGTTTTCCTGGTTCGTAAAGACTATTAACATTCCATGTTGAAATTCGTTGGATATCATCTATTTGGCACCGGGAGATTCTTCGCACCCTCTGACCATCTAAGGCCTGCCCGGGACTGAGGGCCATCTGAGTTTTGTTTTGTTCTGCCATAATGAGATGAGTTATCCTGGGGAAAAGGTAGTGTTGTAGTATCCCGTTACTTTCAACACCGCAGTACCACAGCCATTCAAACTGTCCTAGTCATGCCTGTGGAATTCCAATAACAAGCCGGTCCAAGATAATTTCTTTTGCGCCTTGCGTTGGTACTAGTGATCGCTGCTGCCGCTACACTATATTATAAAAATTGGTTTATGTTTAGTTCAAGTTATGGGGTATTCACAAATGATACACCATTTCTTTAAACTTCGAACTACAGTAAGTTAATAATTTTAAATGAAACTCCCTGTATTTCATAATTTCAATAAAAAAGAAATCAGTCTTTCAAATAGTATTTGGGTTCCTTATAACTAAAGTTAATACTTTTATAGATAATTGTGGTTTAATATTAAAGATAATATATTTATTGATTTCCACAAGAAAAATGAATTTCCTGTAGTAGGCTGTATACCTTATATCATAAAAATTTTAATTAAAAAAGTATTCCTAGTCACAGCACTGATGATAGAATAGTCATTCCAAACACATTTAGATATGTAACCTGAAAGGGTTCTTTTAGTGGGAAGATCATGTCAATTCAAATGAATTTCACATGCTGATCCACATCCACCAGTTCAGTTGGCTGGTATCTTTTCTAGGACATAGATATAAGTCGTAGTCCTTGTTTAGAGAAGGGTTCAGTATATTGACTTAAAGTCAAATCTTTTAACATTGACCTCATGTCGCTTCAATTTTAACTTAAGATATTTAAAATGCAATCTTAAAATGCAATTTTAAGATATTTAAAATGCAATCTAAAGGTTATTATACATTTTACACTAGTTTTTTTTTACTTCAGTGTAACCACTGGGATTTTTCGCTTTTATTAGTTATTCTGTACTATTTTTTCAGCATAGTGTTAATATTGCCCTTAGGATTATTTTATTATTTACAGTTATAACTAGACATATGTCAATAACCAAAAAAAAAAAAGAAAAATATGCACATTCATATGCATTCCTTTTAGAAAATACTGTCAATGGAAGCATATATTTAATAATGGTATATTAATTCTGTTACTCCAGTGAATAAATAGTAAGTCAAATTTGCAGTTTTCAGGAGACGACTTACAAGTTTTGACAACATGTCATAAATCCATTTTATATGATTGAATACTAAAACTTAAAAAAAAAATATGATAGAATACAAACATATTATTGGTCTCATTCTGTAACTACTAAGTGATTAGGATAATGAGATATGAGACAACCATTTATTCACTGTCAACTTACCCAGTTATTCACCTCAATATATTAATGAAAATAAGCCAATCTATGTATTTTATGTTTTGGTTTAATGACTTAAAACATAAAAACAGCATATTTCTTTATTTAAAATTTAACAAAAACAGTTTTACAGTAAGTTTAAAATCATTTATTCTGAATTAGGTTGTGTATATGTCAGGATTACTTCAGGTCAGGATCATTGGTGACATTGTTTTTCATTTCGACAACTTCAGGTTTTGATAAAATTCATGGAATGAAGGATCTATTAAAGGCAATAAGTCTTATTTCTTTTCTGTGCCTATTGG